AAATAAATATACTATATATATAGTTATAGAATAGGTTATAAGTTCTTAATACTTATAAAATAATTTCTAAATAGAACTTTATAGATTTTAAGCTATTAACTAAGCTAGAAATATATTTTATATAATTATCTATTAAGTAAAGACTTATTTATATATCTAGTATATTACTAGCTTAATAAGAATAATATTAAAGTTATTTTAAATTTTATAATCTTTAAAATTACTTTTTAAGAAATTAGAATTTATTTCTATAATAATTTTAATATTCTTATAACTTAATAAGATATCTATAATTAAATTATAGTAATAAGAAGAGATTTATAAAAAGACTAAAATAGTATATAAATACTTGTTAATTAATTATATAAAAAGAGCTTTTAATACTAAGTTTAATTAGATTTTAATAATTAGCTTATAGTAATTTTCTTTACTTATTTAAACTCTATTATATACCTTTAATATAACTTTAATATCTTATTATTAAATTATATTTATAAGATAAATAAGTATAGAATACTACTTATTAATATAATTAATATTAATATTTATAAATACTCTTTTTATATTATCTTTATATTTCTCTTTAAAAAAATAAAAGAAAACTACTTATAGGCTTTATAAAATCTTAAATTTCTTTATTAATATAATCTTTTTTTTATTATCTATTAAAGGTTATTAAGTAGTAAAATAAAATAATATTATAATAAGAGAAATATTCTAATAGAGAATATAAAATTAAGGGGTATATATAAATAGAATGTAAATAATATAAGATAGTATAAAATAGTATATTATAGTATATAGTAGTATATAATACTTTTAATTTTTTTTTCTTAAATAGCTTAAAGGTCTTAGGCTTTTTATAGATAATTTCTTAAAATTTAGCTATTGTAGCTAGATAATAGATATACCATTAGATAGCCTAAAAAATTAGCTTTTAGATGGTATTAAAATTATCCCTTATTATATTCTAAATCCCGAGATATCCAGCTTTAAAATTAAGTTAATTTTACAGTAAATTAATTTAAAGCAATTTTTAATTTCTAATTATCAGGCTAATATTAGCCCGACTAAAACAGTATAAATAGTATTAATAATACTATTTTTTATATTATAAAAGAATATTTTTTCCTAATTTTAATAACTTTCTTTTTAGCTTTAAAGCTATTATTATAATAGTTAAATCTAACTTAAGAGTATAAAGTAGATCTAAGATATATAGTATATAATTAAGTAGATTAAAATATTATAATAAATAATATAAATTACAATCTAGTAATAGTAAAATAGTAGATTTAATATAACTAAGTATATTAATAGCTAGTAAGGCTATCTATCTATAAAAGTACTAAAAAGAGTATCTATATACTAGTAGTACTTATATAGGCTTACTAAGTAAGAGTAAGTCCGATCTTATAGCTTATCTTATAGAAGTAAGTTGTATATTTAGACTTACTTATATAGAGTAAGTTTGGGATTTATATTAGGTAAAAAGTAAATATATTATAGTTCTGCTAGTTATAACTACTTAGTCTTAACTTAAGCTGTAATAATTATAATAATAAAGTTATAATATATTATATAAAATTAAATATTTATTTATATATTTAAATTTTATATATTTAAAGAGTATTAATATTATCTTAATAAATTAATATTTAGTAGTAATAAATACTATTTTAACTTAGTTTTCTTTATTTAAGAGACTGCTATATATTTAGTATATTAATAAAATAGTCTTATAATATTACTAGCTAATCTTTTTAACTAATAAAAGCTAGAAAGAAAAGATATAGAATTAATTCTATATATTTTAATACTTAATTATAGTCTTACTAACTAAAATAATAATTTAAGAGTATTTAACTTACTTTATATATAAATATATAGAGAAATATATAGAGGTAATTAGATATATTAAAATAATCTAGCTTAATTTATTTAAAAAGAGAATTATTAGAGTATAGGTTAATAAATACTTATATATTAATAATATAGCTATCTTAAGGTAGGTAGCTTATAGTATTATAGAAGATAGATATTAATAAATCTCTTAAAGCTAAAGAAATTTATTAAATATTAAAGTGAAAAAATTGTGTATTTTTTTATTTATAATTTAAGGTTTTAAAATAAGCTTTATATACTTTTTTTCTTCTATATAAAATTAGCTAGAAGCTAATTACTAAGCTTTATAATAATAAATAGTAACTCTTACCTCTAATATATCTAATAGAATTTATTTATTAATAAAAGCATATATTAAGATATCTATTTTAAATCTCTTTAATACTTAGCAAGCTATAAAACTTACTATTATTAACTAACTAAAAAAACTAAAATATATATAAGCTTCTTAGTAGGTATTAATATTACTAGATATCTCTAGAGTATTATTTAAGGTAATATAAAGCTAGGTTTTATATAAAGTCTTATATAAAGTATAAGAATAATAACAATTACTTTTAAAGCTACTTAAGGCTTTCTATACTAAAGCTTTTATATTCTTATATAAACTGCTATATATTTATATCTTAAAGAAGCTTAAAAAGAAAGAGCAGGCTATTTTACTAGAGTATTTTTATTTCTATTAGTACTTAAAGAGAGATATAGCTTAACTATAGCTAATACTAAAGCTTAGAGCAGTTTTAAGGCAACTTAACTAGAGATATAATTAGCTGATAATAAATATAAGATAAGAGCTTAGTATATTTAAAGTAGTTAAAGTAGTAATATAGCTAAAAGTACAGCTTAAATATAGTAGATATTATATATTAGGTTATATAATAACTTTAAAGGCATACCCTTTATAATATAAAAAACTCTTCTAGTTATTAGAATTAGCAGTAGCAGCAGCAGTATAAATAACTAAAGAGATAGTAGTAGTAATAGTAGCACTAGTAGCTATAGAGATAATAGCAGTTCAGGCAGCAGCAGGTTAGATAGAGGTAGGTCTAATAGTAGCAGTCTAAGTAGTAGCAGGCTATATAGCAGCGGATTAGATAATAGCAGTCCAGGAATTAGCAGACTATATAGTAGCAAGCTAGATATCTACAGTTTAGGAATTTGCAGACTGTATAGTAGTTAACTAGATAGTAGTAGTATATATAGCAGCAGGGTAGATAGTAGTAGTCCAGGCAGCAGCAGTAAAGATAAGAGCAGCAGTATTAGTATCAACTCCACGAGATCGTCTGGTTGATTCGGTGGATTAGCCAATCCACTAGAATTTTGGCAGTAGAGTGGACAGTGGAATCCACGAGTGGATCCACTACGTGGATTGAGCGGAATGGCTTTCAACCCTGGAAGTGGACCTAATAGAAGGAGCACGACAGCAGCAGCAGGAGGAGGAGGAGGAGGAGGAGGAGGAGGAGGCTGTTGCTGATAACGGGGCGAGGCTTGATCCACTCCAGCAAGCTCGTAAGCGTCGTCAGAGGCTTGCTGCCATTGCGGCGTCAGCCACTCGAGGGAAGCGGATAAAACTGATATCTGAGCTGGATGAGTTTATAGCCAGGACTAATAAGACTAATCTGGATATTGAGGATCCTCTGGAGTAGTGGGTTTGCTATATATCTAAGTACCCTATCCTGTCCAAGATAGCATTTGACTTGTTCAGTTGCCCAGTAATGAGCGCTGAGTGTGAATGTGTTTTCTTATAGATAAAGAAGGTTATTACAGATGAACAAAATCGGCTTAATTTGGACACTGTAGCAGCGATTGAATACCAAAGTACCTGCTTTGAAGCGGTATATTAGCATAGATCTACCACCGGAGCCACATAAGAAATGGAAAATAGTCGAGTAACGTCAACCAACTAAGTAAAGCAAGCCTCTCTACCGAGTAAACCAAGTAAAGCAAGGGGTTCCTATTAACTAAGTCAAGTAGAGGGTCCAAATTTTGCTTTACTTGGTTGATGGATACACTGGCCTAAAACATAGCTCCAACTCAGACATCTCATTCTACTACATATAATGTCAGGGACTCAACTTAAACAATACCTAGTTTATAGTTTAATTACCAAGATCAATGATCCCAGACATGATTTAGCTGTCGCAGTAATCACTATGACTTTTACATTGCATAATAAACGGAGTACCAGTAAAACCTAACCTCTAGTCTGCGGTATTCCAGTGCATCGCAAGCGCAGCTGCCGAGTGTCCCTTCTTCTCTCAGCTGTGCACAGACCAGGCCCGGGCCCGCGAGGATGCGGCCCAGCAGGCGGCTGCCATCCACTTCGCTTATCCGTTACGTTAACTGTTGGATTGACCCTCGGCTGACGCAATCCTCTGATATTTCAATATTCTGATCTTAGTCATAGAGGGGGGGTGAGATTGATAGTTAAATCCCTCGTGGAAAGAGGGGTCAGAGGGACCCAAGATCATCAATATAATCATCCTTTGAAGTCAGACCATTTGATCAATTGCTTATCCCCTTATTGACTTGGGCGTACCGGATCCATCATTAACTAAATTGCCAAAAGTTAATTGTGCATTTGCCCCAGTCGTACGGAGGCAGGGTCAGAAAGTTCTTGCGCAGGAAAAAGCAATAACAGCGCCACAGCCACGGTAAATACAACAGATACTTCAATCCAATTCGGGACCGCTAAAACACGGTATATTATAGCGCACTCTAGTCAGTAACTAAAATATAGACTTCCCCTGTAGCCCCTGAAGCTTTAGAGGCATCAGGCGGAGGCCGCCCTAAACCAGAGCAAGCATTGATGTACCTATAAGTAGCTGGCAAGGATTGTAGATTATGGCGTAGATAACTTGGGCAAGGACTTTCTGGCCCTTCCTCCGTACGTTCAAGCGGGAAGTCGGTTAGCATCGATTACAACTGTGTCTGGAAGCCAACAAGAACTCTTTACGTCGTACGACTACAAGACACGAATAGAAAAGATCACATGTGCGATGAATCAGTGGATCTTGATGAACAGTGAGCGTGGAATATGTACAACACCCATGCCTTTGACCCGATGAGGACGACTCGAAGTATTCTTTCGACCCTCAACCACTCCTACGGGGAGCCAGTCGAATGTAGCACTGCCGAGGCACATGGGTGACCAAGTCGACGGCATGGTAAGTCGAAAGTTCTGCAGGCACCGGCAAGAGTTTGACGTTCCAAAGGATGATTGTCATGACAGTGCGCATTTCCAGGTATGCGAATTTCTTGCCTGTGAGACACCGTTAGCGATTGATCGTGGTGCACTCACAGTATCTCCAGCTGCCTTGTGAGTCAAGTAGCAAGGCGCTGATTGCAAAGGGGAGAATTAAGAACCACTGTGAGCTTTCAAAGTATTCCACGTACCGAAGCATCCCCTCGCTCCACCACCAAACTGCGTATTGGGACCAGCATGATTGTTAAAATCCACCACACCCTCGCTATTCGTTGACAACCATCTTTCTGGCTTGAACTCAGAAAGATGTTCGGGGTCCCATTCGGGAGTCTTGCTTTTCGTCTCCTGACAAGTTTGGCTGCGTAACTTCTCGTCAATGGGCATAGCGGGAGTAATGAACGACGGGCCATTTGTCATGAAGAGAACATTCGTGCCTTTGGGCAACCGCGCACCGAGCAGCTCTGCCTCAACCAAGCATTCCCGACTTTGGGCAGCGGCTGTCCCGCCACATCGCAGTATCTCTTCGATCACCGCGTCTAGATACGGCATCTTCGACGCCGTGATTTCGGAATAAGTGGGTTGTCGCCCCTCCGCCAACGCCCCGGGTATCGCATCTCGCAGGGCCTCGTAAAGTTTGCTCTGGACTTCTTGGTGATCGGTCAACAGCTTCATACCCCACATCAGCGTCGTAGACGTGGTCTCGTGCCCAGCCAGCAGAAAGCCGAAGAGTTCGTCCTTGAGCACGGTATTGTCGAGTCGAGGCTGCCTACCTTCTTTCCTTGCTTGTAGAAACTCCCTGCGGAGGACAAAGTCCATGGCCGACCTGACAGGTGCTTTGCCGACAAATTTCTCTTCACTTCCAAGTCGACCTAGAGAGTGTTTGAGGGCATCGCTGAGCATCAAGTCTTTCCTTCTGAATGCTCTCTGTACACTAGGAAGCTTGAGGTAGAAAAAGTAGCCGAGCCCTGGGAGCGGAGAGGCCAAACCGACTGCCAGGCTGTTTATCACCGTCCTGATGCACTCCACGTCGTATGGGATGGGCGCCTGGGGAAAGACAACGGGGAGGTCTTGTTTCGAGGGAAGGCCAACCGTGGAGCGCTGTGTGAGCAATTCTATCTGAGAACTTGTAGTACATGCTTTTCGGCCAACAGAAGCAGCCCAGATAGTATCCAATGCGGCATTGGCAATGTCTTGCTCCGCTGCAAACGGGTGGCCACAAGCAAGCACGGCTTTTCTCAGCCAGAGCTGCAGTAGTTCCATTGTTGCATCGTAAAGTCGGGGTGCGGCGACCTGTGATCTTGTTAGATGTCGGCTGCCTCTAGTTTCCGATATCGATGGATTCCTCTTCTATAAACCAAGTCCACTTACCTCGTTCAAAAACGTCGGAGTCATCAAGTCCGATAGCAACGAGCGGTGCGCTCTCTGCTTTGGACCCGACGGAAACGAAAAGTGGTGTTCCCTCAAAATGGGCTGCACAACATCAGTAGTAAATCTGGCTCTGTCGAACTCCCTCGAGCGCCGCGTCAAGACGTCTTCACACTCCCTGGCATCGGTGACGATGACCCAAGGCAACGAGAACGGCCTGACGAAGACTTGCACCATTGGTGCATTCAGTCTCTTACACTGCTCTGTCATCCACGAAAATATCTCGTGCGTATCTTCCTTCCATTTCATCATACTTGGTATGTCGCCAAGTATGCTTCTGGCAGACGCATGGTTATACGGAATCCCGGGGATCGGCTTGGGCAGCGCGGCTCGGTAAAGAAGGGTTAGAAGCGCAATAATTACGCCGATCACTACCGCTGTCGAGAAAGAGAAGATGGAGAGGCTCATGCTTAATGATTTTCTAATCGATCAGGGGCAATGTGGGATGTAGGACAATTGCAAATGGTGAGTTGAGTGCTCAGTGACAACCCGTGTCGGGAAGGCGGCGTGGCATGGCAATGCCTTCTCTACTGGTCATATATGCATATAATATAGACAAGCAAACACATATCGTTGCGTGACAACTTGCCTCGGATACATGAAAATGCCGTGCTTTGTATACTGTCTAATGGATAATGCCGACCCCTCTCAGCCCCAAGGTGTTAGATCGCGGTTAGATCGCGGGGAGGGGGAGGAATGGGGAAGACCGAGGACAGCTTAGCCCGTGACTCCGGACGGAGTTATGTCCAAAGTGATGAAAACCCTCATGGCACGTTCTCTTGACAATTTCCAATCAGAAATCGGGCATAAATCCGATTCGTCTAGATGATGAATGGTATTTTACCCTATCAATGCGTACCTCTTGGGCGGCATTTGATAGGATTTCGCTCACCCTTCTTTTTCACCCTTTACGGCATGTTTGGCGAGGAATTATCCCTGCAATATTTTTGCACCTTGAGAGGTGCGTTTTCTGCTCGTTTAGAAGATATAAAACACAAGGCACCTGCATCTAAAAGACCCCCGGTCAAATTTCTGAAATCTGAAAAGAACGTGGCCTCACACGAATCACTAGGCACAATAGTGGTAACGGAATATTATCGAAGATTATGCTCCTCAAAAGCAACGCGAAGTCACATTGTTAAGGACATGAAGCGAATTGAGACCTCACATCAACAAGTAGGCTCATACGGTGATTTTGAAGTCTGGTATTGATGATTGTAGCTGTT